CCCCAAAACCCCAAAACCCCAAAACCCCACCATCTCTATTCGTTAACTCTTTGGCTGAAAATTATAATCAATTAAATGTAATTCCTATAATTTTCCTTAGATAATCTGCAATTATAACTCTATTTTCTCTTTCTGATTAATTTGCATTCTCACTGGCTTAATCAACACTAATTACTACACTCTTTAACTTTTGATGCTACTCAAATGATATCTCGTATATCGCCTACTTTATAATCTAAATCATCTTCTAAATAATCTTCTGATATTTATCCTGCACCTTACTAAAGCCAATATGTATCAGAAAGTCAAATCTGACAATAAAGCACTCAATACCGTAGTGATTGGCAATCTTAATCGACTGATAAAGTAGTTGTAAATACTGCTTCTTACTAGTCATATTCTTATAGTTTATAAGGCCATTAAAGATGACATCAATTACATCAAGATTGGTATGATTTGTATAAACGATATCTCCATCTTTGAATATATTAGAGTACTCATAGTTCGCTTACTTAGACTACTCTGTTTTAAGTTAAATGAATGGCTGCATCATATCTTTGATTTATATTGTGAACTGCTTGTATACAAAATCTATGTTGCTTATTAGAGCGCTTTTAAGTTATTTGTCATTCATCATCAAAGGGAAATTGTCCTCTATTGAATTAATCTCACTAAACTATAGGAATTTGCTGTATTTTTCCATATTTTGCTAATTATTATCCTCAAAGTAACTAAAATTCAGCATGCCTGTCCTCGTATATGAAGAACTCATTAATTAATCGATATGAGACAGAGAGGAAAATTTGAAGTTGCTTATAACGTTGAGGGAAATTATCAGATCAATCTCTATCTTTTTAACAATACCTTAGGATATCCTTATCTTATCACAGTTAATTAGTTGATTCTGATCAACTTAATCTCTAAGAGTTGGATCAGAGTGAGTACTATTACTCCATTCTTTCCAAAACTCTTAGATCAACTGACTCTTACTTTATATCATTTATTGCTAAGCATTGGTCATCCAATCTTAAGTGTCTTTCAAATGTCTTTCGATAATAAGTTATTTGTCTTTATCAGATTAACTTAATACTCTTGCCCTATCTATTTCCTTTAATTGTTCCTCTGATAAATAGCTCCACTCTTCTCTCTTGTTCTCTATCATCTAGGCAAGCTTGCTATTAAGCTCATTTTGTAATTCCTTAAGTGATAGCTTCCTTATGTTTCTTACCTTCTCATGCACACTTTGCTCCCCCTCACTATCAATTTACTATTCCACTTCTTAATCTTAATTCAGCTCCTCTTATAAGTTAAATGGTGATCTCATTTCATTGCTAATCTTACTAGGACTAGATTATTTTATATTCTGTGTGTACTACTGCTATTTAGCACTCTTTACTAAATTTTAGATTTGGTTAAAGATGTATGGATCTTTTTTCAGGCTTTGAGTCTTAGTGGTAATCCTATCAAGTTGAGTGATCAAAGGGATAATTTTAGTCTTATAGTCAATCAGTTTTTCAAGTTACTCCTGCTAAACTATATCTTTGACAGTTTTCTCAATAGACTCATTAGCCACCATATTCACATGAATGTCTATTTGCTTAGCAGATGTTTATTCATAGAGAGGGAGTTAAATGTGATAAGTTGAGTTGTGCTTGAGTTTTGATTCCATTTAAAAATTTACTATTATGTTAAAAGTTTAATGCTTTATTATAATAGCAAATTTAGAAAATTAATAAGTAGACAAATTAATTTTAATTGGCAAATCGATAGATCATGGATTAATCATCACAATAACAACATTTAAGCAGTAGTCGGTCTCCTATTTACAATATAGACCATGTTTCTAGGCAATACTCACACAGAGATTTAATCAGCAAAAATGTCACAGACCTCAATCATCATTAAGAATTACAGTAGCATAATTCTTTGGGTAAACAGTCTTAAAAGCAGGAAACCATATACAGAGAAACCTTGTAGTAACCTATCAATAATTTGTATGGTTAGCAGTAATGATTGAGTCTGAGCCCTTTGAGTATGTACTCGCAAGATCCTCGCTTGAATCTTTCAAGCAATGACAATCAATTCATTCAAGTCAATTAGCCCTATTCGTTATTCCATCCAACGGAATAACACAGTTAGCTAGACAGTAAAACAAGTTATCATCGCAATAACCTTTACCCTCAATATAACCATCAGTATAAACATAGCATGTTTTCCAATTAGCCTTTACTTAATGCAATTGATCAGTCCTCGCAATAATCTTCCAAAAATATCAACTAGCAATTAAACAACATATCAGTTAAAGATATAGAATAGGATCTAACAATCGCAAGCCCAAAGCAAGAGCAGCAATAGCCTTAAGCTGATAAATAAATAGAAGTCAAAACTTTCGAGTTAAAGACAAAATTAAGAGAACTCTTATCTCGTTCAAATTCTGAGTATTCCTTGGCATCGATGACCAATGAGAATTACTAGAAATTTCTTGATTAAAATATGCTCTTAAATGGTTAGAATCAGCCCTCAACTGACTAAAACGAAAGACCTAACAGTATTAACAGTTAGTAGAATAATAGAATTCTGAGAAGCAGCACTTAAAATACTGCTTATCTTGATAAGTACGCGAGTCAGCCTGACATTCAATAGTTTACTCAATAGAGGCCAATTGAAAAAATCTACTCAGACAAAAATATTCTTAATTCAGTAAATGCAGTAGACGCCTTTACACATAGACTCAGCGATGAAAGAGACTTTTTGTCTCGCAAGGATAGCGAGAGAGAATACAGTCCACTTCCGAGAGACGGGTTCTTTCGTTCGATAGTTAATTTTCCTGGAGGTCTTATAAATAATTAAAATAATAATAAGTTCGTGCCAGAATAAAAAATGAGTAATAACTATCAACCACAGCTTCATCAGCAGAGCACTGCTACAAACATAGTCAGTACTAATAATAATACGAATCCTATTGATAGTATGAGCTAACAAGAGTTCGACCAAATGAATCTTAACATGGTTAACAGTAATGTGACTAAACAACAGTAATAGGAGTATAATGAGTAGTATATGAATGGAACATCAGCTAACATACTTCATCACTCACATTCGCAAATGAATCAATCATAGTCCCCATTTGGAGCGCAGAAAAATATGCAGTAACTTGGCTTTGGGTAGAGCAGTCAAAGCATAATGCCATTAATGAGCAATTAGCAAAGCAACATGAGTGCAACTGCTGGAGGATATCAAAGTTATAGTAACTACTAAGATGATAAATACAATGATTAAATGCTCGGAACCCCATAATAGAGATATATGTACCAGTAAAACTATAATGAATCATATGGCATGCCTAGAGATTTTATGCCTTAGAATGGTTATTACCCAAGAGGAGGAATGATGTTTGATATGTTTGAACTAGAGAGAGCAATGCATGAAAATCAAAGGTTGATGCGAGAAAATAAAGAATTGAGAGAACAAATGATGAGCTAGAGAAAAGAATTTGAGACCGGTAAGGTTAACTAAATGATAAAGCTAGGCAACCTAGAAAATGAGGTGAATCAGAGTATCAGTAAAAATAATGTGCTTAAAGGCAAAATTAAGAAGATTAAAAAGTTTATGCTTGCTCTGTCCAAGATCATGGAAGATTCCTAGGTATAGGATTAAGGATAAAAGGATGACTAGAATAAGCAGAATTAAGGATTTTAAAATAAGGGAGTTGATAATGATACCGATTCAGATAACGAAAAGCTGCCTACTCTTGAGCTATTATGCCATTAAGTGAAAAGACTAATGACTGAGATGCTCGAAGTTAAGATGAAAAAGCTAAGAGCAAACAGAAGATCCTACCACAAGCAGTATACAAAGTCTCTGTACAACTTTAACGCAGATGGTGATTATGGTATGAACGAAGATGAATTCAATATCCCTAACAGTAGAGCTAAATCAATGCCAGCATAAGACAGAAACTTCCAAGATTAGTAGGTTAAGTTACAAATACAGGAATCAAGTTTGGGCAAAAAGAATGTAAGTAAGCTCTCAACCACTAAGCAGTCTACTCCACCTAACAGGAAATAATCTGAAGGTAACGGAAGGACTGAAAATTAAAACAAAAGATCCTCATCATATAATGCTGCTGGTAATCAAGCAATATCTGATAGAGCATCAAATTAGTTGGCATAGGATGCAAAGTCAATAGACTCAGTGAGAAGGTAAGACCAACGATCAGAAAACTAGAGATCAACCAAGAAGATCCAAGATGGGAATAAGCCAATGATGTGGGTGCCCAATGATATCTCTGAGGAATGTGCTCTCTGTAAGAGTTACTTTAATTTGTTCCGACGCCGCCATCACTGCAGAATGTGCGGCAGTCTGGTTTGCTACTACTGTTCAAACCATCAGGAATATGTTCCTGGCTATGCCGATGCCAGAGTGAAGGTTTGCGACGCTTGCTACAGAGATAAAAAAAGACTTAATAGAATCAAGTCTAGGAGGTGGAGCATTATCTCTGGCCACTTCGCTTCAAATAACTACTGATGTAGACATTAAAATAAGAATTTCTCTCATGTGAAAATAAGTATCAGATGTTTATATATTAACTTATTTAACTATTTGACTAAAAAATCTGTAAATCTAATGAAGCGGGGTTTTGGGGTTTTGGGGTTTTGGGG